TAAATCATGGTGAAGTAATAAAGAAAGCAGTGAAAAAACTCCTACGATGAAATCAGCGAGCCCCCGATTTAAAAAAAGCTGAAGAAGAAAATACTGATTTCCTAAAAAAATAATAGTTAAATAGATACGATTAGTACGATGTAGTGAGATAGGACCGTGCCGTTAAAGAGAACGTGTGAGGGGCTCAAAACTTTCCTTTTTGTGCCAGTAATCATACAACAGCCAGAGCTACTGTTCCGGCCATCAGGGAGGTGAAAGAGGAGGAGGGGATAGTAGAGGTCACGAGAACATCACCGAAATACCGGATATGCAACCTTTCTGACTGCATAGTACACCCACTAGGTGGCGAAAACAGAAGAACCCGCCGCGATCATCAACAGAGACCGCGAAAACCATCGTCGGGGTTGCAAAACGGAAGAACGCATCAAAGATTTTCAGCAGTTGCTTACAAAGAAATGGATGCGAAGGTTGATTCTGCAGAGGATAATTTAAACATATTCTACGTTACAATCAGGCTAGGGCTCTTCATAGCTCAGATGAAAACCAACAGTGTGAGCAGGAGTAGTTGCATTGTATAGCCAAATGAACTCGATCAAAAATTGCTTCTCTTCTAAGCCTCTCTTGTGATGTTGACAGCTTGCTGGTCGTACACTAAACTAGAAATAGCGTGTACTTGTTTTCCCGATAGGTGATTTCTCACAAAGTATGCGAATACTTTAAGAGGGCTACAGACTGTTCCTCCAGTTAACCCTGAGCCGCGAAGTGCAAACGTACACCAGTATCGGTACTGTTAATTACCATGCTTATTATGACGCTGGGAAGGTTGAATTTGTTGCCAGTAACTACGTTTTACCAACTATCCATGGTCGGGATCCAGCCGGGCAAAAAAGGTACATATAAAGTAATTTCCTTATTTATTACATCATTCTAACCAGCTTATCCTACCCCCTGTACCTCCTCTCGCAGGTGGTAATCCTGATTGATGACCTCGCCGCCTTCCTCCAAGGCGAATGTGTTTGGGACCTGATGAAGCCTCGGAGCGTCTTTGTGGAGTGCGTCGTGTCTAGCGCCTTCAGGGCCCTCGGTGGGGATGCCAGTCATCTGACGGTCCTCCACGGCAGCGATTTCAAGTTCGAGGGGTGAGTGTACCCGCCCTGCTTTGCCCCTTTCTCATTTCAGCTCTCTAGTGAACTGGACTGAAGCACTGGGTAACTGCCATTTCCTCTGAAGTAGTTCATTTCCCGACCAGTTCCTTCACGCAAGTGAGTAGAGAGCTGCTCTGCCGAAAGTCGGTACGTAATTGTGTGAAAATTAGCGTGAAAGTGTGTCCCCTGCCAGTCAAACTTGTCTACTTAGTATTGAGTCCAAACTGACAGCTGGTTCTTTCGCATTCACCGCGTCTTAAAGCGCAACTGTCTCGGTTTCATTAGTTTTCAAGCATACGGTAACTGTAAGCATCCAGATTACTGGGCTGCCGTTTCAGGCTTCAAGTAAAAAAACATCCCATTATTTATAGAACGAAGGAATACTGCCGAATCCCTAGGCGATTGCATTTTATTTAGGGAGCTTCGCCAACAAACAAAACCCCACTCATACACCCCATTCTCTCCTACAACCAATAGCCAAACCTCTAAGCTGTTCTACCTGTCAACTTGCAGTTAAAGCAGTATTCGATTGCTTTCTTCATCGCAGAGCGCAGCTTGGACCAGAATGAAAGAACTGCCAGTTCTGTGGAGAATATGCGCCGAGGGCATTTGGCTATCAGTAATACAGTGCATCACACAGAACTACTGTTATACACTATGACACTAGACCCCGATGCAATCCCGGCCAAGCTGTTGAAGGAGCTAGCTTCTGAAATG